GTGAACATTTCTCAGAATTTGTTCTGCAGCATGTTAATAGATGTCCTATCAGAAAAGGTTTAGTATTCCATTAAGGTTGGGAAATGCTTTACTATAGGACTTCACAAACTTTAGTGGACTGATGTGTGTTGTAACACTCAAATAGCAATTTTTCTATAAAGTCGTCCTTCTTTTCTGTGGCTTCACTTTCCACAGTTTCAGTTACCTGTGGCCAGCTGCAGCCCAAAAATATTAAATGGAAAATTCTGGAAACAATAGGTTTTAAATTGCATACCATAAACAGTCTTCTTTTCATTTAACTTAGAGCACTTGTATGAGCTTGGTAGATTTCTAGAAGTGGAGAAAAAGACAGTAGAGAAAATGATCTCCAAATATGATGAGTGTACTAGGGAATAAGAAAGGAGTATCATAATTTGGAATGCACTGGCAAACCACCAGTACATCCAGTGAGGGAAGGGTAAAGGGAAGCTTTTACTAGCAGAAAGGGAGAGGTTCACACAAACTGCTTAGAAACTGAGTTCACTGGTTCCAGAGGCTCAAAGCCAGAGTTGTCATCAGTTCATTTGTGGAGATGCCATTACTGGGCAAGTGTTCTTCTGAGCGCATCTTATCCAAATTACTGCAGTCCTAAAGAATGGCAGTGGTAAACCATGTGAAAGCAGGAGTTGCATGAAGGGCGTGAAAGGGTTTCTTGTGGGGTTTTTAGAAAGTCCTTGGAAACAGCTATGTCAGACACATAAGCATGAGTCTCCTCTCCTTTGGGCCTTCCTGGCTGTATTTTGTCTGGGTCTGACAAAGATGATTTCATCCTAATGTCTACAACTTTCACATTATCAAAAGATATGTGCATTTTAAATTTTAATAAAAATGGCAGCCAGGTATGGTGGCTCCTGCCTGTAATCCCAGTACTTTGGAAGGTCAAGGTGGGAGGATCATTTGAGCCCAGGAGTTTGAAATTAGTCTGGGCAAAAAAAAAAAAGAGGTTAAATTACTCCCTATCAAGATTATGTGCACAATTTTAGCTAAATTGATCATGTGCTCAATTTTTTTTTTTTTTTTTTTTTGAGACAGAGTCTCGCTCTGTCACCCAGGCTGGGGTGCAGTGGCGTGATCTCGGCTCACTGCAAGCTCCACCTCCCGGGTTCACACCATTCTCCTGCCTCAGCCGCCTGAGCAGCTGGGACTACAGGCACCTGCTACCATGCCCAGCTAATTTTTTGTCTTTTTAGTAGAGACGGCGTTTCACTGTGTTAGCCAGGATGGTCTCGATGTCCTGACCTCGTGATCCACCCACCTCGGCCTCCCAAAGTGCTGGGATTACAGGCGTGAGCCACCGCGCCTAGCCCTGTGCTCAATTTTTAGCTAAGTGCACAATTGTTCTGTGAAAAACAAGCAATAGGCTATTTCTTGTAGCAGACTAAGGAGAGACTTAGTTTTTCTGTCAAATAGATGGTGAGGGTCACATTGTTGGGCCTACATCAGTGTAATTAGTTTGATTTTTCTCTTTTCTCTTTCATCCCAATGTTCAGTTAGCATCCCTTCTTCATACTAGAAGGTAAAGAAGAAAGGTAAAGAAGAAGGTAAAGAAGAAAGCAAAGGTGTGAATTGACTGTTTAGCAAACTTATTCTTGAAAAGACAAGTGTCAGTCTAGAAGTACAAAAGATTGAGATTTACTAGCATAATTTTTTTAAATTTTTTTATTATTATACTTTAATTTCTAGGGTACATGTGCATAACGTGCAGGTTTGTTATATATGTATACTTGTGCCATGTTGGTGTGCTGC